GACGGGCTTTGAGCTAACATCTATTGCCAATCCTTCTCCTCTTTTTCCCCAAGGCCCCAGTAGACAGTTGTATGTCACAGTTGCACATCCTTCTAGTTGCTGTATGTGGGACACGGCCTCAGCATGGCTGGAGAAGCAGTGCGTGGGTGCGCGCCCGGGATCCGAACCTGGCCGCCAGTAGCGGAGCGCGCGCACTTAACTGCTACGCCACGGGCCAGCCCCCTAGCGTATTCTGACTGATATATTACCTGGATTTTGTTCCAGAGTCTCCTCATTTGGAGTAAACTCATAGCTTCTCTGGACCTCTCTTCTGAAAAATAGGCATGATATCAAATGCACATGCTCAAATCTTCCGTCTTAGAAAATAAAGTCTCCTTTGATATAGGCCTCCCTCTAGCTATCTCTCCTTCTGTCTTCCACTGCACACCCAAGTTTCTTGGAAGAGTAGATTAACCAGTGGTCTTCAAACTTTTTTTTCTTGGACAGCTCCTAAAAGTTTTATTCAAAAACATGCAGTGATTACAAGAAAGGGGGGAGGGATGGCAGTAGTCAGCCCTAGCTGTAAAAATTTGTGAACAAGTTCTTCATTTACATTGGAAATTTTATCATTCTTTCATCTTCTTAAACTTGTATTTCCATTCTACTTTCTCCACAAAACTATAATCTAAGATAATATATTTTATGCATGACAGTCTTTTATCACTTTGTAATCACCAGATCAAGATGTTAAGATTCAGTGCTCTCACTGTGATGGCCTGGGTTCATTCGCCAGTCAGGGAACCAGGCCACCCATCTGTCAATTTTCATACTGTGGCGGCTGCGTGTTGCTGTGATGCTGAAAGCTATGCCGCCAGTATTTCAAATACCAGCAGGATCACCCATGGTGGACAGGTTTCAGCAGCTGAGACAGACTAGGAAGAAGGAATTGGCTACCCACTTCCAAAAAAATTGGCCATGAAAACCCTATAAATAGGAGCAGAACTTTGGCTGATAGAGTGCCGGAAGGTGAGAAAATGGCGGGCGGGAGAAAGTGAGAAGAAGACTGGACAGGGTTCCACTTTGCTGTACACAGGGTTGCTGGAGTTGAAATTGACTTGATGGCACTAACAACAACAAAATCACTTTTATCACTTTGTAATAATTTCCTGCAACAAAAAAATATATATATATATTGAATTTTTAAATCTTTTTTACTTCCTATGACAAAAAGGCTCTTGTTAATTTTTTTATTCTGTATTGAATTATCATTATAATTATTATTAGCAGTCGATAAAAACAAAAATATATTGTAAATTTATGTAAATAATTGTTAAACAAAAAGTAAAAATTTTATTAGAATTGCAGCTCTTAATGAGATGCATGGGCTGGGTTTTTTAAAAAAATGAATTTATCTGTGGATGAACATTACTTTTTTGCTTTTTTTGTGTGTGTGTGAGGAAGATTAGCCCTGAGCTAACATCTGATGCCAATCCTCCTCTTTTTTTAGCTGAGGAAGATTGTCCCTGTGCTAATGTCCGTGCCCATCTTCCTCTACTTTATATGGGACACCGCCACAGCATGGCTTGACAAGCAGGGCATCGGTGCACATCTGGAATCTGAACTTGCGAACCCCAGGCTGCCTAAGAGGAACTCGTGCTCCTAACCGCTACGCCACCAGGCCAGCCCCTCTGCTGGCTTTATTTAGACATAATTGACGTAAAATATTGTGTATGTTTAAGGTGTACAACGTGATGATTTGACACACCCATATATTGCAAAAATGATTACCCCAGTAAGGTTAGTTAACACTTCCATCACCTCACATAATTCCATTTGTGTGTGTGTGTGGTAAGAACTAAGATATACTAAGATATACTCTCTTAGCAACTGTCAAGCATACAATAAAGTATCGTTAACTATAGTCACCATGTTGTACATTAGATCCCCAGAACTTATTCATCTTATAACTGTAAGTTTGTACCCTTCGACCGACATGTCCCCATTTCCCCCACCCGGCAGCCCCTGGCAACCACCTTTCTACTCTCTGTTTCTGAGTAGGCTTTTTTAGATTCCGCATGTAAATGAGATCAGACTCAAAAGTCTTTCTCTGTCTGACTTATTTCACTTAGCATAATGCCCTCAAGGTCCGTCCATGTTGTCACAAAAGGCAGGATTTCCTTCCTTTTTATGGCTAAATAATATTCCATTTTATATACACCACATTTTCTCTATCCATTCATCTGTGGATGGACACTTAGGTTGTTTCCATGTCTTGCCTATTGGGAACAATGCTGCAGTGAACATGGAGTAGAGATATCTCTTTGAGATAGTGATTTCAGAAATATACCCAGAGTGGGATTGCTGGATCATATGGTAGTTCTATTTTGTGTGTGTGTGTGTGTGTGTGTGTGTGTGTGTGTGTGAGGAAGATTAGCACTGAGCTAACATCTGTTGCCAATCCTCCTCTTGTTTTGCTGAGGAAAATTCTCCCTTTTTATATGTGGGACGCCCACACAGCATGGCTTGATAAGTGGTGAGTAGGTCTGCGCCCAGGATCCGAACCCGTGAGCCCCGGACCGCTGAAGTGGAGCACATGAACTTAACCACTATGCCACCGAGCTCGTCCCAGTAGTTCTATTTTTAATTTTTTGAGAAACCTCAATACTGCTTTCCATAGTGGATGTACTAATTTATATTACCACCAATGGTACACAAGGGTTCCCTTTTCTCTACTTCCTCACCAACACTTATCTCTTGTCTTTTTGATGACAGCCATTCTGACAGGTGTGAAGTGATACCTCATTGTAGTTTTGATATGCATTTACCCGATGACTAGTGATATTGAGCACCTTTTCATGTTGGTCATTTGTATTTCTTTGGAAAATGTCTATTCCCATCTTCTGCCCATTTTTAAATTGGATCATTTTGTTTTTTTGCTATTGAGTTGAGTGAGTGACGAACATTACTTCACACTAGAATTAAACAAGGTCCAGCAATAAATTCCATTCCTTTTTTTTGTTTGTTTTTATAAATATTAGCACTGAGAAACCTTGTTTACATATATAAATAGATGACAACAATGTCACACATTTTGTTGAACACTTTCTGAGACATATGCAAAAAAATCACATCATCAGAAATTATTTTTAATAATCTCTCAGCTGACAACTTGATTAGATTTCCTTTTAATTTTTGCTGAAAGCAAAGAATTTGAAACTACCTGTGTTGCAAAAGTCGTTAGAAGTATTCACTTTCTCATTTTCTAGGAAGT